TGTGTGTGTGTGTGTATGTATATACATTTATGTATATATGTATACTTTTGCACTCAGTGTTTTACTTTAGAATATATGCTTAAGAAGAAAAAAATTCTCAGAGTGCTCATTGCTAGAAGCAATGTAAATGTAATTTTAATAAAACATAGTAGGAAATATGTGTGGTAAGCATTAAAAATAAATCCTTATTTATTTGTTCTAAATTATGGAAAAACAGCTTCTTCTAACTGCCCAGTCTTTTAATCATTATATCTTGCAGCACTGCTTCACCATGGTAAAAGACAAAAAGGCTTCAGTGGTTCATAGTTAGATTAAAATATGAGAATGCTGAAAAGAGTTTTTCCATTTCTGCATGTATGTCTTATTGTTGGGTCTTTACCTTACAATGTAAAGTGCCACGAGGCAACTGTTCTTGTGATCTGGTGCTACATAAATAAAACTGAAGTGAACAATTTTCTTTTTTTTAAACTTGTGAAAAATAAATCCTTTTAGTTTCTCTCTTTCCTTCAACATAAATAATAACGAAAATCAATAAATCAATCATCAAAATGAAAACCTAAAAACAAAAAAATAAAGATTCCACTTACTGCAAAAAGCACATTGAAGAAGACAAAAATGCACTTGAGACATCCATTAATTTTCCCCATCTTCAATTTTTAGAGGTGATGCAGTGAGGTTGTAACCCAGAGTGTAAGAATGTGCAGCTTTTCTGCCGTTTGTGAACACACAGAGTGAATGTGAATTCAGGAAGACGCAGAAGTGAAACACAAAAGGCTTCTCTGAGGACAAACCCTCACATCTATAGTAAGACCTCATAAAACACATGCAGTTAGAAAAAAAACATGCTTTAGCTCTCATGAACTTAATAACAGGAAGCAAAACAAAAACTGAAAGAAAAAAACATATCAAAGAATTATTTCTGACTACTGTATAAAGAACACTGGCAAACAGAATGGGGGGGGGGGGAGTAAACGTAATACAGCAGAGATAAGACTGCAGTCCTCCAGTCTTCCATTAAGAGCCTCAACATCGTCTTGGGTTTTGAGAGGTAAAACCACCCCTTCAAGGAATTATGCAACTAAATCAATTTTTCTACTTCAGCAAGGTATTTAACATCTTGCTATGAACCAGTTTAGTCTCCTTCACTTCATCTAAAATGGCAAGGACTTTTCGCTTGATTCACTGTGGCTGCTCAGTTTACTTTGCATCAGTTTAACACTTGGCCTAGAGAGGTTAAAGCACACAACATTTACTATAGCAGTCGTTCTCAAATTGTAATACGTGTACCACCTACAGTGGGGCAAAAAAGTATTTAGTCAGCCACCGATTGTGCAAGTTAACCCACTTAAAATGATGACAGAGGTCAGTAATTTGCACCAGAGGTACACTTCAACTGTGAGAGACAGAATGAAAAAAAAATCCATGAATTCACA